AGAATTTCCTACTTAATCCTGGTTTTGCTGGAGCGGGTCACATTTTCATTGAACTTGCAAAGAACAGCAGCTCAATGCAGCTGAGCTGTTTCATTGTATTCCCGGTAAAATTATCGACTGCTCGCTGGCAGCTATGGATCCTTACGCAGGCCTATGCATTCGGCGCACGGATCCATAGCTTACAGCGCTGCATACTGTCGTAGGACGTTCCCGCGGTCGCGTGCGCCTTGCCGCGGAACTGCGCGCAAGATCTGCGCTCAGCGCTTCGGATCAACACCTACTTTCGGCAATGCTTCTCTAGTATCCCGTCTCATCTGGTTTTATTGCCTTTCCTATGACTGCATTTTTATGATAGACAACCTCTGTGATCCTACTTAGTTTTATGATCTCTGTTTAGCTGTCAACTAACTTTCTGTGCACATGCACATTGGCAGCCCATATGTTATAAACAAGGAGCCCGTCTAGTGCAAACGCTTGCTCACTTGACTTACACACACACTTTGGTAGTACAGGTTGCGAAAGTTCTCAAAGTTGTCAAGATGAATAAGGTGGTTTTCGCCGTCGGTTTATTATGTATCTTATGCAAAGCGCGTGGTGATACTCCGGCCAACTGCACATACGAAGATGTCACAGGCAGCTGGACGTTCCAGGAAGGCAATCGAAATCACGGCAAGACTCTGAACTGCAGTGATGCATTCGGTATATATCACCGTTTTACAGACTTACTGAACTTGTATACATGTACTAATGAAAAGCAAATATGTAATTGTATTATTCTACCTGTTGTGGTACACGTGTGATATGTATGTACTAATGTAGGTCTTTATTAATTGATTGATTGATTAATTCTAAATTTATTGATTACAGATCCAATTCGCAAGATCAAAGTGGAGTTTCTGTTTCCGGATGTAGCAATAGATCAGTATGGGCACAAGGGCCGATGGACTGTAATTTATAACCAAGGATTTGAATTCGTCATCAACGAAAGAAAATATTTTGCTTTCTCAAAATACAAGCAGGTACATCGTTAAAAGAGTGATGTAACGTCTAAAACTGTATCATTAAAGTAAATATTACGATTGCTAACAGAAAGAATTGATTGAAGGAGATGTGTTGGATTAATAACCATGCATTCATCATTAATCGTCGATCCCCATGCCAAATAAGCAATTGAGTCGTCTGCAATTCTAGTGAACCAAAAATTGGCTGTAAATGTCTTCCCAGTTGGAAATTAATTATTAATCGATATGACATTTTAATAGCAAGGAAGTAACATCACCAGCATATGTGACAGGACGAGTACTGGATGGTCCCACGATACGCTCGGACATAACTGGGCCTGCTACAGTGGGAGCAAGGACACCAGTGTTCCAGCCAAACACCACACTGCCATCGCAGAGTGAGTTTCACCATGTAATCTCTTTGTAGCTGTGTTACCTTGTACTGTAGTGCACCTTGTTATCTTTGTAGCTGTGTTACCCTTCAAGCATCATCGGTGAATGATGCAGTCGTTCAGCCTGAGGTTAACATGTGCACCTTTCGTGCTGTACCCGTGAGTTTAAACCCCGATCAGGACACTAAACTAAAAACCAGGTGTCAAAATCTGTCTCTCAACATCGCTTAACGTGAATCCCCTTCGAGTCGCACGTCTACGTAAAGTTCATGGCCGTCTCAAGTAATAGAGATGTAAAAGAACCACCGCAGACATGAATCACTCGGTGACCACCCTCAGTGGCAGGTAGTTAGCCAGGAAAAAAAAATCAGGGAGTCATACCATCTGAGCGAAGCGAGGATGCTGCGGGCGCGGAGCACCCTAAAGGGGAGGGCCTTACCTTAAATTTTAAAATGGAGGAAATTTAGTCTGAAATGCCAAAAAGACAGGAATCTGATATGATCTTATATTCTTATAAGCACTGTTGTCAGTTATACAAGGTGTATAATTTATATAATTGGGCCACCCTCATGCCGACTCTATCAAATTTCATTCGTCGGTCTCATCCAAGAATAGGCCGTCCAAAAGATGGGTAGATGGGTCTCTGGCTAACACACTGCTCAGTGGCAGCAATAAGATCGATTTGGCGTATTCGCGAAAAATTGCTGAAATAGAGCTTCAGCGACCCTTCACCGACAGAATCGTTAATACGACAACGGCGCGGAACAATACGATAATTTAATATATTAGTTAACATAAGATAATTTAATTACGAGATAAATCAATTTAATATTATATTTATAAATAAATAAATAAATAATCCAGATCGCTCCGTTAGATTAATCGTGCGCGAGAGAAGGAAGTCGTGGCCACCGTACATTAGAAGTAGATGCGCGCGCACGCATTCACGCGCTTCGTCGCTGGCCGTGACGTCGCTTGCACGCGCTCGTGCGCGTCTGTGCAGGTCGCGACGACACTAGCGCGTGTTCACATGTGCTAGCATGCACGGCCCCTCCTCTCAGTAGGCTGCCGCAGCCGGGCCGGCATTACCGCTACGACTATGGGTTGTTGACTAAGATCGGTCTGGCGTATTCCCGATTTTTTTTTTGCCGATCACAATAAAAAGTTTTGACACGGCAGTTTAAAATGGACTCGGTCGGGTTAGCGGAAACAAACGTCTTTTTTTAGGCCTAGCCTGCATGTCCCCTTCTCTCCGCAGGCCGCCGCAGCCGGGCCGCCATTACCGCTACGACTACGGCCTCGTGACGGCGATCAACGATGCGCAGGACTCGTGGACGGCTAAGGTCTACCCGCAGTACGAGAAGATGACTCGTGCTGACATGATGCGAAGGGCCGGCGGTCGAAACTCGAAGATCTATCAGTGAGTTATCGGTGGGGGAAATGCCAATATATCTGGGCACTGTATTGTCGGAGAGAAAGGGAGAGCGGGAGGCGGAGAGAGAGGGGGGAGGGAGAGAGAGAGACAGAGAGAAGAGAGAGAGAGTGATAGAGAGAGAGAGGGAGAGAAGACAGAGAGAGAATAGAGAGAGAGAGAGAGAGAGAGAGAGAGAGAGAGAGAGAGAGAGAGAGAGAGAGAGAGAGAGAGAGAGAGAGAGAGAGAG